TAGGAATTACACAGTTTTATTCTTGCTTCTGCAGTTGAGAGTTAAATGTCAGGCAAACTCTGTGTTACGGAGCACATTATTATCAAATATCTTACTCATTCTGTTTTTAAATCCTAGCATATTGTAGATACTTAGTGTATTTCTCTATGTAACAAATAGACAATTTAAAAAAATCTGTCTTATCCCTTGAAATCAGTCATAAGTAAATGTTATTGTATGCTGACATGCACCTTTAATTGGAAGAACAAAGTCAGAGTTTTCTTTACTCCTGGCTTCTAATGTTCCTAAACTCTTTTGACTAGCTCATTGGTTTTAGTCAACTTGGGTAACCTCTCTACAGTTAGAATTAAGAGTACCGGCTTTGAAATCAGACAAATCATAGCTAAATCGGGACAAATCTGTACCCTAACATTTACGATGAGTGAACTTGGGAAAGTTACTTAACTTCTCTGAGACTCACTTTTTTCAGTGGTAAAATCAGGTCATTAAAAACACCTACCTCATGCAACTGTTGAGTATTAAATAAGAGAATATGCGCACAGCCTCTAGAACACAAGTAACAGTGCATTAGGTTGGCTTTGGCCATATTTTATGACAACGGTCCTGAACATTGCATTGCCATCAGACGTGGTCATTGGCTTAAAAGCCTGAAATCTGTTTCATTTGAAAGCCACTATCCTTTCCTTCATTTCTTATCTCTCAGAACAAGTTCTGGTTTCCCACATAGCGGAAGAGTTCTCTGAAAGCAGTAGAGAGAGCCAGTTACAAAGCACAATTGTTTTCCAGGACCCTGCTGCATCATGTCTGTTAATGCCTATTGGTCACACTAAGCCATGTGGCCAAGTCTAGCTTCAAGGAGAAAAGCAATGGACTCCAACTCTCCACTGGGTCCTGGGAGCAGCCAAATATCATGGCTATTTTTTTCAGTCTACCACAAGTACTAAACAATAAATAGATTCCCATGATCTTGAGAGTAAAAAGTCTTCTTTATACTGATGCTGAATTTATGTTTAAGTAAACACTAAGCCTGCAGAGGTGGCTTAATAGGTTTCCTATTCCCATTTACAGCTGAAAATACTCAATGTTCAGAGAGTTTAAATGCCATACCTAAAGAATCAGACAATGAATCAGACTAGATTTTGAAGTCTTCTGATTAATTAATAGATCTTCCTAAAGCATTGGGCTTGACTTATTAAAATTACTCTCTTTTTAATTGGAACCCATTTGATTCCGCACTTTATTTTTCTTTATGACCCAGTGATCATTAGTGTCTCAGTGAACTTGAGCCCTATGCTTAATACTTAAGGTGTATGAATAGTTCATTTACAAAATAGAGCATGTACCTTCTACTAAAGCAGTCTAGTGTACATCTAGCCTCAGTTGACCTCTTCTTTTTGTAAGCTTGGTAATGCATCTCCTTCAATGAGACATACTTTGAGAGTCTGGACTGTTTGTGGAATGGTTAAATGAGTTATTTTCAAAACAGGTAAGAATCTTCTATATCTTTGAATCACTTACTGCCATCAATGACCTAGAATAGAAATATGAATAAAGAGTAGTCCCAGAGCCCTGATAGATTACATACTCACTCACAAAAACATGGGAAGTCAAGATTGACATTGAATATTGAAGCTACACAGCCCTGACCCAATGTTCCATAATTGTGTTTGGGGACAATAAAATTTAAACTTAAGATTCAAGTGACTTACATTCCTGCCCTCCTATCTGTTATTTATTGATATTTTTGTTAAGTTTAGTGGTAATTTTTCTTCTGTGTTACACTTTATACTTTCACATACATTTAATTATCACAAAACTGGAACTTGTAGTATCTGTATTTCATTATAGATAAGAAAACTGAACCTCCAAAGACCTAGGTTAGTTTCCTGAGACCTCACAGGCAGGAAGAGTTAGAGCTCAAACTCAGTATGCATCCCATATACCCACACTCAACTTTCTGATTCCAAACTTAATAATGTATATGCATTCCTCATTGCTGTATAACTACCTCGGTTTACCTTTGCAAGGTGATGGAGAGTGTGCTAACTTCAATCTGACTTCTAATAGTATTTATTTTAGATTTAACTGTATGCTGAATTATACCATTATTTAACTGTTTCCTAAGCTCTTATTTTCTTAATGATATGTCAAGCTTTTGTAAAGCACACCATCCGCCATCCTGTGGAGAACCCAGAAGGCAGGCAGCAAATACTCCTAGAACAAGCCTGACTTACTACTAAGATTGGCTGGAGCTGAGACTGTCAGCTACAGTTGAAAAGTGACCTGTGCCTTTCATTACCTCACATAGCCGTGTTCTAATTAAAGCAGCTGTTGATGCCATGCTGCCCACAGAAACCCTCAGGTTGGTTTTCTCCCTTTCTAGTTAGGCTTTCCCAGAGTACCTCTGCTCGTATCCTACATTCCTCCACAATTATATGGCCCAATGAATTTTAAAAGGACCCGAGTTCGATCCCTGGTACCAAAAACAAACAAACAAACAAACAAAACCAACCATTATTTTAGGGCCAGGGATTTGGCTCAGTATTTCTGCTGCCTGCCTTGCAAGCACAAGGGCCCAAGTTCAATCCCTGGTACCAAAAAATAAATAAATAAAATAATAATAATGAGAGTATTCCAAACTAAATGATAAAGAAAATAAAAGGCTAATGTGCACTCTAGCAAGGCATATTAGGAGTGCAGGAGCTCTTCAACAAGTTGAAGGTCTTTGGAGGTCATTTTCTCCAAATTCCTGAAGTGAAAGTATAGGCGGTTTTTGATAGCTTCAAGGAAGAATGCTTCAGTTAGCAGTGGGCTGTCCATTTTCTGCCTCAGCCTGCAGCCCAGCCCTTTTCCCTTTGATTCCCTCCTCACTGTTAGGGCCATATAAATCCCTTTAGCTGAGGATTCCAATCATTAAATTGTCTTTTTGAGATTACCTCATCTTCCATTTAATTAAGCCATGCTTTAGCTTTTGTGGGCCTACAAATCTCGATTTTTTTTCCAGAAAAACATTGTATGGCTAGGAAATGTCAGCGTTTCCCCACTTTCCTCTTTCTATTCTTATTGGTTTCTTCCAAAATCACTATTGCTACACTCAGTTCTGGACCCTTCGTAAGTCTTCATTTTTGTGCTCACATTTATTCACAGGCACTCTGCTTGGTGCTAGGGATTTGAATTAATAAATGAGCTTTTTGTCATTTCACAAAATACCCAACATACACAATTTAAGGGGGACAAGGTTTATTTTTGCTCATGGTTTCAGAAGTTTCAGTCTCTGGTCAGCTGGCTCCATTACTTCAGGCCTGTAGGAACATCAAGATAGAAACCTCACGGCAGAAGCATGTAGTAGAGGAGAGCTGCTCACCTCATCATGGATAGCAAGCAGAGAATGAGTGAAAGAGCCAGAGAAGAAGGTCACAACCCCATGAACCACTCCTTTCCATTAGGACAAGCCTCCTGTTTCCATCACCTCTCCCAGATGCCATCAAATTATGATCCTATCGATGGATGAATCCACTAATGAAGTTAGACCTCTAATGATCCAAAACACCATCAGCAAGCAAGCCTTCAACATAATGAGCTTTTTAGGGGACCTATCATATCCAAACCATTGTATGATGTGATAGAGAACAAATACAGGCAGGATTACTGCAGTTAGGATTGTTATGAACTGATACGGGATGGTGGTTCTAAGAGATGCTGTGCAAATACATAATGATCCAAGCATCTGGAATCATGACAGGACAGGTAGGAGTTTTGCCAGGAAGGAACTGTGTAACAAAGGAAAGCTTACAATCTATGAAGAGAGTCAAGTAACAGAGCAAGTATGGCATAGTAGGATACATATCTCCATTCTGTGTGAAGAAGAGTAGGGACTATGAGAAGACTAAATGGGTGGGCCTAACATTGCCTGATAAAGCAAGGAAGACATTGTGGGGGTATAAATTAAACATAATAAGAAAGATCATGTAAAAAATATATGAAGAAAAAAAGAGAGAAAGGAGCCATTGCACATGGGAGAGTGCAGAAGGACCCACTGATGCAGATATCCTAGAAGAGACCATGCATCTGTAGGGAGTGAAGGTGCACACAGGGGACTCACCAGGGTGGTATTTTGGATGTTGGCAATGTAACATTTTACAGTCAGGCACAGGTCTTACTTATTGCTGCATGTAAAGCACTTAATCTTGGGACAGAAACTTTTCCACCAACCTAAACAGTAAAGCACCATTTCGCAGTCCACATGACATGCACACATCAATAGAGTAAAATTATGTAAGAACATACATTTTCTACTAGTAATGGCCAGGGCCAAGTTTGCACACTCCAAGTGGAAACTCAGAATGAATGAAACTTCAATACCAGGAAACTGTGTAGGAGAGTTGTCTCTTTTTGTATCTTCCACCACTGCATTTCCCCTTTTCTTTTCATGTTTAGTTTCCTGAAGGTGATGTGGGTACTCCTGCTTTGTGAAGTTCCTCAGATCTAGAGAACTTACCTTGCTCCCTCTCCCATCTGACTTTCATCATCTTCAATCAGTCACTTCAATAAAAGTAGGCTTCAGAGAAAATGAACCTAACAAAATTTAAATCTGAGAGCCTACATTTTTTCCCTTTCACTGTCCTCTACCATTCATATAGCAGATATGATCAGTGATAGGTACTTCGTAGACACAGTTCTGAGAGGCCTAGTGTAATTTTATCTAACAGACTGACTACCTTGATGTCCTCCTAGTAAAGCGGTGAGATTACTTTTACCACCAATTGCACGCTATGTCTGTTACCTGTGCAGAAAGAAGGAATCCACCACCTCCGTTTTCCTACCATTGTGTTGTTTTATAAACTTTTTCATTTTAGTCAGATAATTATGCTCCTTTATCGCCATGAAAGAAAATCCTGAGAAAAAAATTTCATTGCTTAGTTGATGTACATGGTGTTGAAGAATGAAATTCTACTGAAGACATGGATTCTCATGTTCCAATATTTATTGTTCCAATATAGGATGAAGAGGAAGAAATCAAACAAGAAATTAACATGTTGAAGAAATATTCTCATCACCGGAATATAGCTACATACTATGGTGCTTTTATCAAAAAGAACCCTCCAGGCATGGATGACCAACTTTGGGTAAGTAGCACTATTCAAATTTGCTTTCCTTACATGAAAAATATACAGCACTGAATGGACCATTTCTCTGTCCTCGTGATGAGACTTGATTAAATAACTTCAAATTTGAAGCCCTTATTCCTCATGATTTCCATAGCATTATTTTCAAGGTTTTCTGCCATTCTCTTGAAAAGTCTCTCTATCTTTTGAGAATACCTACATCTTTTTCTATCACATAATATGAACTATCCCCAAAACCAGTAGTTAATTCCTATGTTCCCTGCATTTATTGACAGTCTATTATATTTGAGGTGCCATGCTAATTAAGAATGATATTTATTCCAATTCATTCAGGTAGATATTATTCTTATGTCACGGATAATGAAATGGAGGTTTACAGGGAATATAAAACTGTTCTAAGATCTGTGTAGCTAGAAACGGTGGAGCCAGGCATGGTGGTGCTCGCCTGTAATCCCAGTGCTTGGGAGAGTGTGGCTGGAGGATTGCCAGCCTGGGCTACATAGTGAGTTCAAGGCCAGCCTGGACTACAAAGTGAGACCCTGTCCCAAAAACAAACAAACAAATAAAAACAGTGGAGCTAGGATCTAACAAATCTGTGTGTGATTCACCTTTTCTATCACTAATGTGTGGATTACTCTCAAATATAAACTCCAACTCTGTGAGTAAAATACCTAACAGTGTAGAAATGCTGTAAAGGATGTTCTACTTTTCTGCCTCCCCTGTCCACTTAGCTATATTCCCTGGATGTGTCTCTTTCACAGTCTATAAGATAGCTCCAACTGACCATCCCACTGATAATAATTTCCATACATTTGACACCAAAACCACTGCCTCTTATGCCTGTGCTTTCCAGGCCAGACTGTCTTTTCACTTTCCTGGTATCTGGATTATCTGTCACTGGAACTTTTATTATCTTAGTCGTTCAGCAGCCTTATAAATCCATCTTGGTTTGACCTTTCCTTGACCATTTTAAAATCGCCCTCTAGTGTAGATCTGTTCTGTGGAGGCCTAGACTATGCAGTAGCCTCCTACTTCTCTCTGAATCTTAACCCTCCATTCGTTTCACATGATACCGCTGGATTAGTGACTCTAAAAATACACTTTTAACCACATAATGTCTTGCTCCTCTTCCAGAGGGTTTAGTCTGTGTATAACACAAAATTCATTGAAGTATCAGGTGGCTACTAAATGCTAAAGATAGTGCTAAACTATGGGGGTCCAGGGTTGACTCTATTTCATGGATGATCTTCAAGGAGCTCAGTGTTGGATAGAGGTTGGTCTTTTCGTACATATGACATTTACAATCCAGCTGAAAAGATAAACATTTATAGTGAATGAAATTGGTGACCAAAACGGGTATAATAATGTTAGCTCAAAACTGGACAAGATTTTCATATTATTTGATATTGAATATTTTGTCTTTGGAAAAGAAAACAGTTGTTGAGAATTCTTTTCCTGAAAAACCCATTTCCAAACTTAAAATAAAAATATAGTTCAGAGTAAGTAAATCCATTTAGTGTGATAACATTGGTTTTATATATTTTATGTGATTCCTGAAAAGATTATATTAGATTTTAATTGTGGCCTCTGAATGTATAACAGGTGTACATGTGAAGATTAAATATGCAATAGTAGTAGGAGAAAATAAATGACTGCACTCCTAAAGAGAGATGTATCACAACAAATGAATAAACTAGAAGACAGAATTTTGATGGACTTCACTTTATCAATTTAAAAATTTTTCATTACCAAAAATTATACGATAATGCAAGTAACTGATTTAGATAAAATTTTCATTTTATAGTTAATGAGCAATGAATTTAGTAGCCTCCAGAAGTGAAGAATTTTCATAAATCAATAGGAAAAATAGGAAACTACCCATAGAAAGTTTGAATTAAGGAAAAGGCAACAACCATAAAAGTAAAGAAATATTAGTTACCAATAAAGATATTTTAAAAATAGCATTCTTACTAATATAAATGCAAAAAACAACAAGAGAGTTCTATATCATTTCTTACCTACTAGATTGGCAAAGAATGGATAGACAGAAACAAGGGGATATATATATCTCGCAGGTGGAAAGGAGTCCAACAGAATGTAGAGAAGAGGTGAGGGTAGGTGAAGGGGAAATAAATAGGGTAAGCATGTGCCGTCTTCAGGGCCCTAATAACCTCAGTGTATGTAAGCATTATGTGTCACAAACATGAGATAGGATTTATAATGTCAATGAGAGCGAACATGGTGAAAAGGAATTTAGGGGAGGTGGGAGAGATGTGAGAGGGAAGGAGAGGGGGAGTTTTAAAGAGAACCGAGTTGTATTATGTGCATGTACCCACTCCCCAAGATGACTGGAAACTGCACATGCTGCAGGAATGTACTATTAAACAAATTTTTTAAAATAGGATACTCATACCTACTGCTCATGTAAATGGATATTAGTGCAACTTAATTCAAAAGAAATTTCACTGCACACATCTGTGCAACAGTGTGCACATATGCACATACACACAGATGTACAGAAATTAGGCATTTTTCCCCAAAAATGTGCTTTACTTTTGAATCAGTATTTCCACAAGTAGAAATGTATGCAAAATAAATATTTGGATGACTACATGAAGATGTACTTAGAAATTAACCAAGAGGAAATTGCTGAAGGAATGCTGTGGAGGTTATTGAGCTAATGTAGATCTCTAATTATAAATGAATGAGCATGAAAAATTATAGTAGATTTTTTAAAGCCCTTTTTATAGTTGGATATACTATCTTTTCATTTTGTTAAAAATATATATAGATATGTTGACATAGTTGGGATATCTGGAATAATACTAATGGTTTTGAAAATATTTGCTTCTTGTTAGTAATTTTAATAATTTAGTTTTAAAAACATTTTTCTAAGTCATGCCTGCATTTTCCCCCCTAGTCTTGCTCTTTAATGTCTGAACCATTTCTCTTTTTGTTGTTATTGTGGGCTTTGTTTTTGTTTTTTTGTTGTTGTTGTTCTTTTCCAGTACTGGGGATTGAAACCAGGGCCTTGACGCAGCAACGGGTCTATGACTGGGTTACATCTTTGGCCTTTTCTAGTTTTTTTAATTTTGAGACAAGGACTCACTAAATTGCACAAATTGGCCTTGACCTTGTGACTCTCCTGCCTCAGTCACCTGAGTAACTGAGATTAGAGGCACACACCACCATCCCCAGGTTCTGCTGCTTTTTCCTTTGCTTCTCATTGGGCTGCCTGAGAGCCTCATAATGACAGCTCTCTGAGGGCAGGGATTGTACCCTTTGTGTCTCCAAGTTTTCCTCAGTACTTGGAAAGCACTAAGCAATATGATGCTGACCAAAGCATTGATTTGTGAATGAAAGTGATATTATTGGTACAAATCTTGTTACTAACTACAGGTTCTAGGAAAGTTCAGGTTCAACAGAATTTGATGAGGTGGCATGAGTTGGAACGTCTGTGTTCTCAGAGGGCTCCTACATTGTGAAGAATCCAGCCCTTAGCAGCGATCCCATACTGTTGTACGCTGTAACAGGTGACACATAGAGAATGACAACTGTACTCCCAGTTCAGTGCCTGCACTCGAGAGAGAAGTCCCCTTTGTGCACCCTCCCACCGCCACCCCAGGGAGAGCCATTGTCCTGGTTTTGTGTGTGTGTGTGTGTGTGTGTGTGTGTGTGTGTGTGTGTGCTTGTGTGTGTGGCCCTTGGTGATTGTGGGGATGAGCACAGAGCCTCATGCAAGCTGGGAAAGTGCTCTACCACTGAGGTAAACCAACAGCAAAGCTTGACTTATTTTCAGTTTTTCATAATCCTGAGAATTTTTTAAGCTTGTAGGAAAATTAATTGTCATTGTTTTCTGGGTTGCATTAATTAATTAACTTTTCCAGGACCTCAACATTCACTAAGAGATGATATAAGACCTAAATGCAGACACCCTAAAACATGACAATTTAGCTTGGTCTGAAGATCCGTGAAATGCCCTGGAAGGCTTTGTTTGTTGGTTGGTTTCTTTTTCGGTTTTGTTTCTTTTCTTTTAATAAGAAAAGTTTTTAGAACATTTTCAGTTTGGCATTGGAGAAAGCAGCAAGCCTATTTGCATCTGCATGGGGATGACAAAGGTTGGGAGGTTTTATGCTCCGAAAATGAGTCACCACCTGCCAGTTCTTGCCCTGGCCAATTACTCCTCCCATGGCCTCCGTCACTGTGGTAGTTGGAAACGAAGAGCCTGGTTTCCAGTGTTCATTTATTTAATCACCATTCATTCATCCATCCATTCAACAAATATGCATGCCAGTCACCCACTATGTGCAAGGTACTCTTCTAAGCACTCACAATGTAGCATTGAACAAAACTGATTAAAGGCCCTACTTTAACACAGCATACATTTTTGCTGCAGACCATAAGCAGTAAGTACTATAAGAAAATAATACAGAATGCTAGAAATTGGTGCTGGAATAGTACAGAAAAGTTAATAGGGAATGAAGGTAAGTGTTCAGGGTGGCTATGGACTGAATGCTGATGTCCTCCCCAAATCCATATGTTGAAATACTAACCCCCATTTTGACAGTATTAGGCAGTAGAGCTTCGTTTGCAGCGCTGGGAATAGGACCAAGGGCCTCACGAATTCTAGGGAAGTGCTCTACCTCTGAGCTACACTGCCAGCCTGTGAGAGGGTAAGGCTTTGTAAAAGTGATTGGGTCATGGAGGTGGAGCTCTCATAAATGTAATCAGGGCCCACACCAGAGGGATCCAGAGAGGTTTTTCACACTCTTTTGAAGAAATCAGCAACGTCTAGCCAATAAGGAACCCTTACTATAACCCGCTCATGCTGGCACCCTGGTCTAGGACTTTCAGCCTCCAGAACTGTAAGAAATAAAAATTTCTGTTGCTTATAGCCAGGTACTTTGTTACAGCAATCTGACCGAGTATGACAAAGCAGTAAGTAGAATAAGTCAAAATAAACCCTATTATGTAGATAGCTCGAGGAAGGGCATTCTAGG